GATATTCTGGTACTTCAAACCAATGTAGTGGAGCCTTGCTATATGGTCTGAAAGTTTTTGTTCTCCCTAAATTCATATGTTGAAATCCCCAGTGATGGCATTAGGAGGCAGGGCCTTTGGGAAGTGATTAGGTCATGAGGGCTCTGCCCTCATGAATGGTATTAGTGTCCTTTTATTTATTTATTTATTTTGAGATGGAGTCTCACTATGTCGTCCAGGCTGCAACTTCTGCCTCCTGAGTTCAAGCAATTCTCCTGCCTCAGCCTCCTGCATAGCTGGGACTACAGGTGTGTGCCACCACGCCCAGCTAATTTTTATGGTTTTAGTAGAGATGGGGTTTCACCGTGTTGTCTGGACTGCTCTCAAACTCCTGACCTCAGGTGAGTCCACTATCTTGGCCTCCCAAAGTGTTGCAATTACAGGTGTGAGCCACTTGCCTGGCCAAGGATTAATGTTTTAAAAGAGGCACCAGAGAGGCCCTTGCCCCTTGTACCATGTGAGGACACAGTGAGAAGGCACCATCTCAAAAACCAGAAAGTTGGTCTTTACCACATGTTGAATCTTGTGGCACCCTGATTTTGGACTTCCCAGTCTTTAGAATCATAAGAAACAAATTTCTGTTGATTATAAGCCATCAGTTTACGGCATTTGGTTATGGCAGCCGAAGCGGACAAAGACAGGCCTGGAAGCTCAAGGCATAGTATCTTAAATGATTTTTAACAAAGTGTTTCATGGAAGTCATGGTGGATGCTTTTAATAAGAAAATATTTATTATGGATGAATCTTTAAAGATTGTGGATGTACTTACTCCTTCCCCCTTCTCACTACTGTACTTGACTATTCTTTTTTTTTCTTTCTTTTTTTTTAAAAAAAGAAGAAGGGCAGGCTGGGCACGGTGGCTCACGCCTGTAATCCCAGCACTTTGGGAGGTCAAGGAGGGAGGACCACGAGGTCAGGAGATCGAGACCATCCTGGCTAACATGGTGAAACCCCATCTCTACTAAAAATGCAAAAAATTAGCCAGGCATGGTAGTCCCAGCTACTCGGGAGACTGAGGCAGGAGAATCGCTTGAACTCTGGAGGCGGAGGTTGCAGTGAGCCAAGATTGAGCCACTGCACTACAGCCTGAGCAACAGAGCAAGACTCCATCTCATAAAAAAAAAAAAAAAAAAGGAAAAAAAAAAAAAAGAAGGGCAGACACAGTGGCTCACAGCTGTATTTCTAACACTTGGGAGGCCAAGGAGGGAGGATCACTTGAGCCCAGAAGTTGGAGACTAGCCTGGGCAACACAGGGACACCCTGTCTCTACAATTTTTTTTTTTTTTTTTAATTAGCCCCGGTGTGGTGGTGAATATCTGTAGTTTCAGTTACTTGGGAGGCTGGGGGCGGGGGTAGGATTACTTGAGCCTGGGAGGTCAAGGCTGCAGTGAGCTCTGATTGTGCCACTGCACTCTAGCCTGGTGACAGAGTAAGACCCTGAAGAAGAAGAAGAAACAAGAAGCCGATGATTAGGAAAAGAAGAAAAAGAAAAAAGATTGTGAATGTGTCAGTTGGAGGGAAAAAGGGAACTTCGGTGGTATAGGGGTAGAGTGCTGAAAGTTTTGAGAAAAATAGTTAATGACAGTGAAAACAATAACAGACAAAATAAAAAGCAACATAATTCAAAACTTCTGAAAAAAGTTTGAGAGAAAGTCAAATGTATATTGTTAAATAGAACCCAGGTTCAAGCCAGAGACAGTTTCTGTAGAGGAGAGAGATCAAGAGAATGTGCAAAGCCCAGACTTTAAGAGGATACTAGAGAGGTTGATATAGTGGAAGAGGTTAGAGTTCTGGATCTGTGTAGATCTGAGTGATCTTGAGTAACAATGACATGCTTTAAATCAACATAGTTTACACATTCACATTTTTCACAATTTATGATGCTTTAGTTACACAGATGAACCACATAGGCTGGACTGTGGGAGGGCGGGTGTTAGATAGGAAAATTGGGGCAATCACAGAACACCTTGCAGAAGCACTTCCTTTACTTGGCACGGTCAGAGTTAGCTCCAGCTGTCACCCCTTCTCTAAAATCTTTACAGATTCCTCGGATTAGAAGCAAGGCCCTTATCATTGTGTACTTTTCATCAGTTATTTGTGGTAAATACCCCTAAGTAGACTAGAACTTCGATGAAGGTAGATCTGGGTCTATTTTGGGTGTTCCAGGCTTTGTCTTGCACACGGTACTTCAATATACTTTTCTATTCTTTTTCTCTTCTCTGTTTCCTTGTCCCCTTTGCGTCTTCTCTTCAAGTGTTACTTTGCAAAAGAATTCTTTATGGATCTGGCTAAAATGCAGTTTCAGATTCAGTAGTTCTGCATTTCTTTTTCTTTTCTTCTCTTTTTTTTTTTTTTTTTTTTGAGACGGAGTCTCCTCTGTTGTCCAGACTGGAGTGCAGTGGCGCGATCTCGGCTCATCGCAACCTCCGCCTCCCGGGTTCAAGCGATTCTCCTGCCTCAGCCTCCCGAGTAGCTGGGACTACAGGCGCATGCCACTATGCCCGGCTATTTATTTTTATTTTTATTTTTAGTACAGACTGGGTTTCACCATGTTAGCCAGGGTGGTCTTGGTCTCCTGATCTCGTGATCCGCCCATCTCCGCCTTCCAAAGTGCTGGGATTACAAGCGTGAACCACCGCGCGCTGCCTAGTTCTGCATTTCTAACAAGTTTTCAGGTGATGCTTATGTTGGTGCTTCTCTGAGACTAATCACACCTTAATTTCCAGGGTGTTAGAAAAACGACCCAAAATGGCCTACACGGCGTCAGTGTCCTGGGTTCAAATGTGAATTCTGTTTTTTACTAACGGTGCGATTGTGGGCAGTGTAAGCCTCTTGCTTTCTCTGTAAAATGAGATACACTCAGCACCTGTTGCATGTGTTATTGCGAATATTCTGTAAAATAATGTACACAGCGGGCAGTCAGGTTCGGGTCGCCGTCAGAGTACAATTAATGATAATTACGAAGGTGGAGGCGGAGCCGACAACGGAAGGGGTGGAGCGGCGCCAAGCCTTGCGCATGCGCAGTCCTCCTTGAACGCACCTCAGGTGAGTCTGTGGCGAGTGGCTTCCCCTCGGCGGTCGGCTATCGGGGTCCCCAGAGCGACGAGAGTGGGGCGGGCTTTTGCGTGGGGCCTCGTCACAGTTCTGGGGGCATGTAGAAGACAGTCAGGTGTCACTGCCTCAGTTCACTGGAGGCGAGTGTTTCCGGGTCGCTGGCGACCGTGGCCTGGCGACCGTGGCCTGGCGGCCGGGCCGTGCTCCGTGCGTGCCCGCGCGTGTCGCCTGCAGGCCCGGGCCGACCGTTCCGCGGGCCAGGGGAGCGCCGAGGGCAGCCGAGGGCACGAGGGAACCGGGGGAAGCGGGAGCTGGGTGAGAACCGCGGCAGGAGCCGGGGGCGCGGAGGCAGCCAGCCTGAGACAGCTCTCTGCCTCTGCTGAAAAGCCGACCTCTGCACAGCTAGACAGGGAGAGACGTTGCTGCCTGAAACCGCGTTGCCTGCAGACGCTAAGCTGGGAGGCCGCCCCGCACAGGGAAGCAGCCCCGATTCCCTGGAGCGCAGCCCCGGATAAGGGGCTTCCGACCCAGCATTGCACATTTGGCTTGAGCTTGTGTCCCCGAGTCGGCTTCTGAGCCCCTTGTGATGTTAACTGCATGACACACAGCCCTGCGCCGAATCTTTCAGAGGCGGCTTCGTGTTAAACTTCACCTAAACTCCTTCCCGGGATGATGCCTGTCCCTGTGCTGAGAAGGCAGGCGCTCCTCTGCCGTGTCTCCCTTGCCGCAGCTAGTAAACATCACTTCGTTGTGGGTGGACAGGTGTGCCCCTGGTGGTCTGTAGCCAAGGAACTTGAAGTTTTATCATCGGCCTCCTGAAGCCGGGAGCCTCGGAGTGCAAAACTATATATACATTTTTTGAAAGGTAAATACTTTGTTGTACGACGTTACTTGGAGGCGGCTACGCTCACCACTGTACACCAAGGCAGCTGTCCAGTATTATTCGGACTTATTTTCTTTCCTTTTAACCCTGGCCTACAAATGGACTTTATTTCTTATCATCACCCTCTCATAAAACAAAATTTTACTTCGATTCCTTGAATAATGGAACTGCCTGCAGGCAGTCTTTGTTCATCCCTGGAACATTAAAAATAACCCCCCAGCACTTTGGGAGGCCTAGGCGGGCGGATCACGAGGTCAGATCGAAATCATCCTGGCCAACACGGTGAAACCCCGTCTCTACCAAAAAATACAAAAAATTAGCCGGGCGTGGTGGTGGGGGCCTGTAGTCCCAGCTACTCGGGAGGCTGAGGCAGGAGAATGGCGTCAACCTGGGAGGCGGAGCTTGCAGTGAGCCGAGATCGCGCCACTTCACTCCAGCCTGGGTGATAGAGCGAGACTCCGTCTCAAAACAAACAAACCCCCCAAAGAGGCCAGGCGCAGGGGCACATGCCTGTAATACCAGCACTTTGGGAGGCAGAGGCGGGAGGATCACTTGAGCTCAGGACTTCGAGAATAGATTGGTCAACTTGGTGAAACCTCATCTCTACTAAAAGTACAAAAAATTAGCCAGACGTGGTGGCACATGCCTATAATCCCAGCTACTCGGGAGGCTGAAGCAGGAGAATCACTGGAACCCGGGAGACGGAGATTGCAGTGAGCCAAGGTCGCACCACTGCACTCCAGCCTGGGAGACAGCAAGACCCAGTCTCAAAAAAATAAAAATAGGCCAGGCGCGGTGGCCCATGCCTGTAATCCTAGCACTTTGGGAGGCTGAGGCCGGTGGATTGCCTGAGCTCAGGAGTTCAAGACCGGCCTGGGCAACAGGGTGAAACCCCGTTTCTACTGAAATACAAAAAATTAGCTGGGCCTGGTGGCGGGAGTCCCAGCTTCCAGCTACTGGGGAGGCTGAGGCAAGAGAATTGCTTGAACCTGTAAGGCGGAGGTTGCAGTGAGCTGAGATCGTGCCACTGCACTCCAGCTTGGGCAACAGAGCGAGACTGTGTCTCCAAAAAAATAAAAAATAACTTCAAGAGAGGCATCTGTATTGAGCATGACTTATTTTCTGTCAGTCATGTACAGCATTGTAGTGAATGGAGCAAAACAACTGTCCCTTCCCACCAGTCAACTGCCTCTTGGTTGTATATGAATTCCTTCCTTTGCAAATTTCTTTGCTTCGTTTCTTTTAAATAAGAATAGTAAAGTTTTAATCTTTTGGTTTCCAGGGTGATCACATTATCAAAATGAGGGAATTTGGGGGGTGGTGGGGAGGGACATCTGGTAAGATATTAGCAGAATAATCCTACAAAAAAAAGGAAAGTTATTTGATTACACCCACCCTCAGGCATTGAAAAGGGGTGGGAAGTGAATGGAGTAAACACCTGACCACAGCGAGCTGGGACTGAGGACAAAGGAGTACACACAGGACAATAGAAACATCTGAGATGAAAAACGAGTGGTTCTCCTCTTCTGGACTTTGAGGTTATAAGGAGGCTGGCTAAAAACTTGGGTTTACATTAATTTATTCAGTAAGAGTCTTATATTCTATTTTCTTAGCTTGTTATCTTTTAATTTGAAAAAGAATAATGACACAAACCTGTTTTCTTGATTAGCTTTTAAAGGAAGACAATCAAGATCTAACCGGTCTGTAGTTTTGCCTCTTATTGGTTCATCACCCAATCAGTTTCCACCCCCTGCCCCCATTTGTATAAAAATTACTGAGAGTGTCTGCTAAAGGGCAGATTATTGGCTCATGCCTGTAATCCCAGCACTTTGGGAGGCTGAGATGGGCGGATTGCTTGAGCTCAGGGGTTTGAGACCAACCTGGGCGACATGTTGAGACCCTGTGTCTACTAAAAATACAAAAAAATAGCCAGGCATGCCAGTGGTCCCAGCTGCTCAGGAGGCTGAGGTGGGAGGATTGTTTGAGCCCAGTGAGGTGAGATTGTGCTACTGCACTCCAAATGCCTGAACTATAGCACATAATTTATGTTGTATTACTAGTATATATCAGCAAATATTAGTATATATAGTATATATTAGTATATATCAGATAGTGTATATATATACTATCTATAATATACATATATAGTATATATAATAGTATATATTAGTATATGTTGTATTAATAAATGAAGAACTCCAGCCCTAGAAAATGTAGAACCTCTTCAGAAACATCTTTTGTAGGGCACTTTACAAAGAAGAGCTGTTCACATATTGTGTCCATTTAGATTATTTCTTAATTCCCAGTGCAGCTAAAAAATTAACCTATCTTCCCCATTCTGTTTTCCTACACAGTTAAAAAATTTAAGTTCTGTAAATTGTTTTTTACAATGCTTTCTTGCATTTTATCTCTTTCCTGTGCTTTATCCAATTTTGTCTTTGGTTCATCATGCCCCTTAGGCATGGAGTTTGAAAACTAGGTATGTAGGATGCCTAAACCAAAAAAGTATACCATAGTATTGAAGTCTTATTCCCATACAGATAAGCCATTCAAATTGTGGGAATGAATTTGAGTTATTAGAGAAATGATAGTAGTTTAAATATGCTCATTCAGGTTTACACATATCTGTTAATTTTAAATTTAGGATGGCCCGTACTTTGGAACCACTAGCAAAGAAGATCTTTAAAGGAATTTTGGTAGCCGAACTTGTAGGCCTTTTTGGAGCATATTTTTTGTTTAGCAAGATGCACACAAGCCAAGGTAATCATAATTCAGAAGTTAATGCTTTCTAAAGGGGTATAGTTTTGCTAATCCATTTTATGTGTTAAATGGCAATGGCATTTTTGGAGAAATTGGTTCTTCAGATTCAAGATATTAGACATTTTTATGGGCATAACAGGAATCAAAGTATTCATTATTGTAGACTAGATGACTCTCACTTCTCCCTTAAAAATTTTGTTTGTGGGCTAAGGGAAAAATTTCATACCTCCATGGGTTTTACTATTGGGGAGGGTAGAGCAAGTGTCCTTGGTCAGGCTTAGTTTGGAAGCACAGATGGAGGAAACTTAGCCTGCCCATTACACTTCATTGTTTGGTAGACTAAGAAAGTAACTGGTTACTGCTGTTTTCTCGGAGTAACAGTTTTCTCAGGCTATAGTATTCTTCCTAGGCATCAACAGTGGGCACTAAAAGACTTTCACATGCTATGGCTGAAAGTGCTTTAACATTTTTCTTGGGGAAACTTTATATTAGAGCCCTCAACCTTTTAAATTAGGAAGTGATTTTTCCCAAAAACAAGGAATAGTCCTGGCATGATAGCCATCTTTGAAACTTGTCAGTCTTCCTCAGCGTACTTTGTTGGAACGCTGTACCAAAATGCTACTGGATACTCACAAAATCTTTTCTTTTCAACTCTAAGAAAGGGTATAAAGAAAACATCCCAACAGTATTTAAAAGCAAATTTAAAGCTTGGGATGAATTTTAAAAACTGGTCATGGCTGGATGTGGTGGATCACACTTGTAATTCCAGCACTTTGGGAAGTCAAGGTGGAAGGACTGCTTGAGCCCTGTCTGGGCAACATAGCAAGACCCTGTATCTTAAGGGGGGGAAAACAAAAAAGACTGGGTATGGTGGTGTGCTCCTGTAGTCCCAGCTACTCGGGAGGTTGAGGCAGGAGGCTCCCTTAAGCCCCGTCCCAGCTATTTGACCTTCACTGAGGTAGAAGGCTCTCTTGAGCCCAACCCAGGGAGGTCTAGGCAGTGGTGGGCTGTGATTGTGCCACTGTACTACAGCCTGGGCAACAGGGAGAGAGATCCTGTCTCAAAAAAACAAAAACAAATGGAGAAGGACCGTAAAACAAATTTCTAATCTATATGGTTCCCATCATATGGACCCTAAAGCTAGCATTAAATTGTGGCTGTATGTGTTAATAATGAATTTCTGTTCATATCTAATTTCAAGACATCCTTTTTTCCATCAGATTTCAGGCAAACAATGAGCAAGAAATATCCCTTCATCTTGGAAGGTATGTTTTTCCTTAAGTAAAAATAAGTATAAAACAACTTCTTCAGGTAACCTATAAATTATGTAGTAATTTCTTTACAAGGCATTTCTAACAATACTGTTCACATCTATTTTAGTTCTTCTGAGACTAAATTCTCATCTATACTAGTGAGAAAATTAGGTAATGGGCTGGATTCTGAATTCTTCTAGTGGTTAAGAATGTAAACTCTGGAATCATTCATCTATGAGGTGACAGAATCAAACCACAGTTTAAACGTTTGGTTTTAAAAGATCAGTTTCATCTCAGGTTTGCTAACTTCTTGGAGCCGTCTCTTTCTCTGTCAAGTAGATAAAGACTGAACAAGATAACATCATGTAGTTACATGAAATAGTGCTCATTACAATGATCAGAGACGCCAGGGCTTATATGTGAAGTCTGTAATCCTACTGTCTTCTTTTTCATTTTGTTATGTAGCAATATGGAAAAAAGAAGTTTTTTTTTTTCAATATGTTTAATTTTAACAATGTTTCCACATGACTTTATGAATGAGAGCTATTTTTACTTATAGTTTATTACAAATCCACTGAGAAGTCTGGAATGTATGGAATCAGAGAGCTGGATCAAAAAACATGGTTGAACAGCAAAAATTAGATGTAAGTAGAATTTCAATTTATAATTTACATTAATAACTCTCATTTCCTTTGCTTTTTAGTTTTTTGAGTGGTTTTAATCCTCTTCTTTTTAAAATGTTTCTTTTTCTTGATGATACTTTTTACATCTCTGTTGTGTAGCCAGTCATCACGTTCAGCCTCCCATCTAAGCTGTTTGAGACCTTTGGGAGAAGAAAAGATGAGTGTACTACCACACTGTAGACTCCTGGCGGTCCCACAGAACATGCTGCTGAGTCACAGGAACTTCTAGCCTGCCTTGACCTGCTGTTTCCCACCCACTGTACAAACCCACTGCTTGTTTGTTGCTTTTCTTCTCATATTTATTGTCAAAGATTAATGTTTCATAAAGAAATGACTAAGGAAGGAAAAGAAACAAATGCTCTAAAGATCTTCTTTCCCCAAGCAGTTTTACTGGTGAAATAAAAACCAGTAACAATCAATATCAGAAATAATTAAAATGTCTATAAACATGTAAAGTTACTTAGCAAACTCATGCTATATAAATGGCTCACTTCCCTAAAAAAAAGTAATTTTTGTAGTCTGCAAGTTTTTTTTTTTTTTTTTTTTTGCTGTATATACTTGTTAATCTTACATGTTCTCCTGAGAGAAGATAAAGCCATTCCTTTCAGGTTGTAAAGTACCATGAAAAGGTCTTTCAAAAATATTCCTATCAACCAGGCACGGTGGCTCACGCCAGTAATCTCAGCACTTTGGGAGCCCAAGGTGGGCGGGTCACTTGAGGTCAGGAGTTCGAGACCAGCCTGGCCAACATGGTGAAACCCCCTCTCTACTAAAACCTGGGAGATGGAGGTTGCAGTGAGCCAAGATTATGTCACTGCATTCCAGCCTGGGCGAGGGAGTAAGACGTTGTCTCAAAAAAAAAATAAAATTAAATTTAAAAAATTTCCTATCTTCTGAAGTTCTAAGCCAAAGCTATTTTTAAAACATCAATAAAAAAATTTAAGTTACTTACTTGCATTATCTTTGTTAGCCATGGCATTCATGCCAATGTTATCAAACTTGGATCCCATATTTTCATCCAATAGATGGCCAAACTTAAACAAAAAGATAAATTTATTAGAAAACTAAAAATAATGTAGAATAGCTAGACTCTTAGAACAGTATATTAGCCTTACCTCTTCAGCAGATACAAATAGGCTGGAATCATTGAAGTTTCTTTTCTTTTTTCTTGGCCCTAAAAAAATTTGTAAGTCTACATTATTCAATTATAAATCTAATGATTTTTTAAAAATGCAATGCAACATGATTTTATTTTAAAAATTATACTTGGGTAAAAACACAATTGCAATAATCTTCTAGCACCATTAGGTAGCTGGCATTTAAATATAATTTAAGTAGTATATAATATTTTTAAAAAGCTAACAACATCCTAATAGAACTGTTCAGATGACAAGAGTGTCTTCTTGCTTTTCAGATTTGGCCAGTGATCGAAGTTTACCCATAAGGGAAATAACACAGTATCAAGCAATAGTAAAGTTATCAGTTTGACATGGATGGGTTTTGAAATACTTAAGACAAAACATAAAATTTAGTTCAGGGCTCTTATTCTTTGGAGTGTAAGGAAATTGAAAGTATGTTTATTATGCTATAAATGAAGTTCTGTTTATAACACTGAAAGAGGTTCTCCTTTAAACAACACCTACCTGTAGTACTGAAAGTATAAACTTTTCCTGAAAAGTCTCTTTTCCTGAAACAATTATTCAAACTCTGCATCTCTGATATCAATGTCTCTAGCAGTACTAGAGCTGTATTTTAAAAAGAGCTTTACTAAATACACATCATAACATTCAGCTATTATGTGTATTAACGCATTTAAGTGTATTAATGCATTTTAGTAAATTTACAGACTTGTTCAACCACAACCACAGTCTGAATTTTAGAACATTTCCATCAACTTCAAAAGATCCTTGGTGCCATTTGTAGTCCTCCAACCCACCTCCAATCTATCTTGTTTCTATGACTTGCCTTTTCTGGCTGTTTCATATAAATGGGATCATATGACATGTGGTTTCCTGTATCTGGCTTTTTTCATTTAGCATAATGTTTTTGAGGCTCATCCATGTTGTAGTACTCCATGCCATGTTGTGGGCTACATAATATTCCATTGTATGGATATACCACATTTTACTTATCAGTTAATGGACATTTAGGTTGTGTCCACTTTTTGGCATTAATAGTGCCGCTATGAACAATCATGTACAAGTCTTTGTATCAGAGCCACTTTTGATAAAATAGTTTCTAAAGCATTTCATCTTCATTATTATTAGGGTGATATGTTACTTGATAGCTGTATAATACACATTTGCATGCATTAGGAAGGTTTTTTTTGGGTTTTATTCATCCTGTAGCGATGCATCTGTGACCTCAAAGAGTAGGCACTTCTGTACTGTGCTGGTTCCTTAGTTTCTTTTATCCTGCTCCCGCCGCCACTTCAGCCTCAAGTTTGCAACACCATGCCTAGCTAATTTTTGATTTTTGATTTTTTTTTTTTTTTGAGACAGAGTCTCACTTTGTTGCCAGGCTGGAGTGCAAGGGCACGATCTCGGCTTACTGCAACCTTTGCCTCCTGGGTTCAAGCGATTCTCCTGCCTCAGCCTCCCAAGTAGCTGGGCCTACAAATGCGTACCAGCATGCCCAGCTAATTTTTGTATTTTTAGTAGAGGTAGGGTTTCATCATGTTGGCCAGGATGGTCTTGATCTCTTGACCTTGTGATCTACCCGCCTTGCCCCCCAAAGTGCTGGGATTTCAGGCGTGAGCCACCACGCCCGGCCATTTTTGATTTTTTGTAGAGATAGCGTCTCCTTGTGTTGCCCAGGCTGATTAAAGCTTCTATAAGGTATGTTTATTCTTAAGGATATCTACTCTAACACTTGCAAATGTAGGGTGATCAATCAGTAAATTAATACATCTGAATCAATTAATGAATCTGTTTAAAATTCCTTGCCTCTTTTTGTTTCAATCAGTTCTGTTGGGTATTCTTTAATCTGCATCCAAAACTATTATCAATTGAGATCTGAAATCTTTTCAGGCTAATGTCTTCTGAAACAGTACTTTACTATTTGAAACAAGCTGAGAGAGCATCTTTTTTAACATTAAAAAATTTTTTCTTCTCCTCAAATTCCTTTTACCAGCATCTTTTAATAATAGGCTCAGTAGAACTTGAAGTAAAGCAACACTTCTTTTCTGAGGGATGGTCTTGAGAAAAACTGCCTATATCTCATCTTATGCTAATATTAAAACAGGATCTTAGATACTCAAGGGAAGACAAAATCTGGAAGACAACATGTTACAATTTAAATATATATCAGTTAAATCATCTAGTTATTAGGGGACTAAGGAATTGACAGCAGTATTTGAAAGAGTTGATAAAATTTTGTAGGCATGAGTCTCTGAAACACTACTACCAATATGTAAATGAAACTTTTTAAAACATTATTTTTAACTTTGCAGATCTATTTTTAGTCATCAGTATTTAGCAGTAACAGAAGCCAGAGAGGCACTTGAGGCAAAGTATGTATAGTGCTTTCTACATTTTTATCAAAAATCTTAAGACTGTTACCTGATACAGCACTTTTTTCTTTTATTAGCACCTTGTAAGTGTTACACTGTGAAGCATAATCTTGTAAGATATACTTTGAAAAATGTTAAAGAATATATTAGCAGAAAGAACAGTTCGTATCATAATAAAGGAGCATGGATTATTGCAAGGGTCAAATGGCAAAGAATAATGGTTGAGAAAAGAAAAAGATAACAGGTGTCTGAAATATCCAGGGTTTTATAATTGAATGGTTTAAAAATGAATGAGCAGAGATTAGCATGTGAATCTCTGGACTAGGTAAGGAAGTTCTGCATTCAAATATGAGTGGGCACCATCCAATATGCTGGGGCCTTGGAGAGAACAAAACATAGCAGAGGCAAACATGTCGATCTGCTGTGCTGAGGAGGAAAATGGTGGATAAGGGGACAGGACTAACATGCAGCTCCCACATGGACGGACAGAACAGCGTGTGGCAATGTGTTTAGTCTCCTTAATCAAAATAATTATCAGCTAAGAATTTGGTATCCAACAAAACTAAGCTTCATAAATGAAGGAGAGATCTATGCTGAGAATTCGCCACTACCAAGCCGGCACTACAAGAAATGCTGAAAGGAGTTCTAAATCTTTTTTTTTTTTTGAGATGGAATCTTGCTCTGCCATCCAGGCTGGAGTGCAGTGGTACAATCTTGGCTCAGTGTGACCTCTGCCTAATGGGTTCAAGTCATTTTTGTGCCTCAGCCTTCTGAGTAGCTGGGATTATAGGGGCTTACCAACATGCCCAGCTAATTTTTGTATTTTTTGTAGATATGGGGTTTTGCCATGTTGGCCAGGCTGGTCTTGATCTCCTGACTTCAGGTGATGCCCGCCTGGGCCTCCCAAAGTGCTAAGACTTCAGGCGTGAGCCACTACACTCAGCCTAGGAATTCTAAATCTTGAAACAAAACCTTGAAGTACACCAAAATAGAGCCTCCTTAAAACATAAATCTCAAAGGGCCTATAAAATAACAATGAAAAAACAACAACATCAAAGTATTCAAGCAACAACTAGCATGATGAATAGAACAGTACCTCACATCTCAAATAATAATGTTGGATGTAAATGGCCTAAATGCTCCTCTTAAAAGGTACAGAATGTCAGATTGGACCACCAACCAAGAATCTGCTGTGTTCAGGAGACTCACCTAACACATGACTCACATAAACTTAAAGTAAAGGGGTAGAAAAAGATATTCCATGCAAATGGAAACCAAAAGCAAGCAGGAGTAGCTATTCTTATATCAGACAAAACAGACTTTAAAGCAACAACAGCTAAAAAAAGAGGGACATTACATACTACTAAAATGATTAGTTCAACAAGAAATATCATAATTCTAAATATATATGCATCTACCACCAGAGCTCCCAAATTTATAAAACCATTACTATTAGACCTAAGAAATTAGATAGATGGCAACACAATAATAGTGGGTGACTTCAATACTCCACTGACAGCCTTAGACAGGTCTTCAAGACAGAGTCAACAAAGAAACAATGGACTTAACACCCTAGAACAAATGGACTTAACAGAAACCTACGGAATATTCTACCCAAAAACTGCAGAATATGCATTATTTTCATCAGCACATGGAGCATTCTCAAGGATAGACCATATGGTGGGCCACAAGTCTCAATAAACTTAAGAAAACTGAAATTGTATCAAGTACCCTCTCACACCACAGTGGAATACAATTGGAAATTAACTCCAAAAGGAATCCTCAAAACTATATACAAATACATGGAAATTTAATACTCTGCTCTTGAATCATCTGAGTCAACAATGAAATGAAGATGGAAATTAAAATATTTTTTTGAACTGAACAGTGACACAACCTATCAAAACCTCTGGGATACAGCAAAAGTGGCACTACTTTTAGTAA